GGCAATACATGCATGGATTAATTACCTAGGGATTACGAAGCGAGGCGTTACAGAGAAGGAGCAATGCTGTTCATGATGACAAGGGAAAAAGGTGCATAGAAGCGGTCGAGCGTTTCATAGTCATTGTTTCAATCATGCCTGGAAGTAGCTCATAGCTCGAAGTGGCACCCATCATTGCGTGCCGGAAGAGTTATTTCCTTGATGTTTACATCTTGTCCTTTGCTGTGCCCATTGCTCCCCTGTCTTGCTCCCTGCAACGGCAGGCTCGGAATACAGGTCAACGTCCGCTCTTTTCGCCGTCACAGCTTGTACCCAAGACAGCGATTCTCTCGGCCCTGGTGGCGCCACTTGACAGGTAATCGGGCTATTACGCAGCAGCGGGGACGGAAGTTCGCAATCTCTGTTCAGCGTGACTGCTCACGCGATCATCACCATCTACAGGCAGATTTCCGTGTCCTGTGTATTTCAAGATGCTCTTGTAACAGTTCATACTGTTCGCAAAGTCAAACATAATGCAGAGACTTGAAGACGTGGCAGCAAACAATGAACCGTGTTTGCTGAATATGTATTCGCATTTCGTACATAGAAGAATTCGCGGGATGTTTGTGGAATGTGCTATGAGTACACAGTCATGGGGACTGCACGTTTCTTATTGCCAGATAGCTGTAGAGTAGCATGATAACATTGAGGATAGAGTGAGATTGGGGTTACGACGTATTGGGAACAGTCAGTAAATAAGACTATGACATTGTAGCACACCATTACAGTTATATAACAGGATCGCTGTGTATCACCAGGTTTTTTTGGTGATGGGAGAAAGGAAAGCTTCAGGGAATAATAAACAATAACACATTGACCTATATTTATATCAAGAACCTTGGCAAGTTGACACAATTCAGTTGAGCAGTGTGGGAAGTCTGTAACCGCGTGCGGCGGGCGGGCTAGGCGGCAGAAGCGACTTTATGCTCTGCTTGTCCTCCGACTTTCCAAAATCCTACTTTACTTTTATTCTTTATTCTTTAACACGTTACTTGCACTACTTTAACACAAGCTCATCATTCATCTGCCACTGCCACTGCCACTGCTACTGCCACTACTTAAAACAATTCTCCCCCCCCCCTCACCCCCTCCTTCCCTCTTTCAACTTCTTACTTCTTACTTCTTCTTTCTTCTCCTTCCACACAGATCTCCCACGTATCTCACAAACATCTTCGGCCTCTTGACTTACATCACATTGAGTCAAGTCTCACATACCACTGGTGTCACCAACCTCATCAGTTTACTACTATTCACTCTTATTCACTACCATCGCTATGGCTGAGATGCAGAAGATCAAGCTCATGAGCTCCGACAGCGCTGAGATCACTGTCCGTGTGTTTCAACCCTTCCCTACCTGTCATACCGTCTCCCTCAAGGATTATACCACGGGCTTTGTTAACACCGCGCATAGATCGTGATGTCGCTGAGCGTTCGGTGCTTATTAAGAACATGATGGAGGACATAGGCGAACAGGCTATGACCGAGGCCATTCCTATTCCCAACGTAAGCTCCCAACAACTTGTCAAGCCGCTACAGGAGACTAACTGACCACCGTAGGTCAACGAGGCCGTCCTCAACAAAGTGATCGAGTGGTGTGTCCACCACAAGGGTGACCCTCCTGCGACGAATGATGATGATGCCGATTCGCGCAAGAAGACCACCGACATCGAAGAGTGGGACCAAAAATTCATGCAGGTGGACCAGGAGATGCTGTTCGAGATCATCTTGGTAGGTTAACTGCCCTGTGTTACCTGAATTTCTAGTCTAATACATTGCTCTACCTAGGCTGCCAACTACCTCGACATCAAAGCTCTCCTCGACGTCGGCTGCAAGACCGTCGCTAACATGATTAAGGGCAAGTCCCCCGAAGAGATCCGCAAAACCTTCAATATCCAGAACGACTTCACGCCCGAGGAGGAGGATCAGATTCGTCGTGAGAACGAGTGGGCCGAGGAGTAAGTTCACAACATGATCTCCTGCTGAATCAACCTACTGACTCCATCATAGTCGCTGAATGCTGTGCCCTTCGGCCTTCAGATCGACATCGATTAATGTGCCTTGCATCATTCGCACGTTAATTTGCTGGAGGCGGCATGGCTCGGCATGGCCGCTTACGATTCATTGATGCAAGGCGTTGACAGTGGTCGGTTGTTTGTGGCTCAATTGCATGCATGCTTTACGAGAAATGGGGTGGCCTTGCCGACAAAGGTTCTGATTTCGGTGTTCGTCAAAGTCACGTCTAAATGGTGGCCCCGTGAACAATTCAAAAGAGTGCTCGTGCAAGATAGATACCCATCAAGTAGAAATCTTTTGCACCCTCGATTGGAGCCCTCACTATGGTATGAGAAGTCATCGGCTTGTGAAGCTGTTGCGTGTAGAGCCAGCATTTGGACTTGTCTCCAGAGCATTTACAGGCAAAGAATACGAAACATTGGGTGGTGCTTGTCGGTCTCGTCGCCGATCCACTTGGAGTCCCTGGGCTTCGAAATCCGTAGCAATTCGTCTCACATAGCTTACTTCATGCATCACAATGGCCACGGTCTGATAGCAAAGCTTGTTATTTCATCATGCGCCTGCAAGACTTTTTTGACTTGCTACCCGTAATGTTCGGATTACACGACTGTCTGACAGGATTCTTCCAGCAGAAGCCCAGAGCAATCCACAGCCTCCATCCATCAAGCCATCAAAATCTATTTGTCCTCCGCAACAGTCCCTGCTCCTCCACCTTTTGATCTAGATACCGATCCTCGTCTTGCGCCAATGTCTTCGCTTTGCGTTGTACCTGTAGGCCACCCAGAGTCAGCCTTCGTCCTCACCAACATCCCTGCACATGGGCCGCGGCCGCGTCGCACTGGATGCTGGCCCTTTTCACAAGCGTTTAGGGAGTGTAGCATGAGCAAGCACGAACCGGATGGTATTGCCAGTGCGTAGACGGATCCATTGTGGGATTGGGCGATTCTGCTTCTGCGCTTTGGCGAGCTTTTGCTTCGTGCGGAAGGACTTGTGAGACTGCATTGATTCAATCAGCAGAGAGTTTTGAATCATGAGATCATAATTAAAGTGTCGCTTACAGGCATTGTGAAATTTTGCGAAGATGCTTCTCGTCGCTGTGGAGGATCGTTGTGATGTTGGCGAGATTTTGTGTGGGAAGTCCTAGCTCGCTTAGACTAAGAAGTGGCGCGACTGCCAAGACCGGTTTGTCTAGAGTTTCGACACTCGAACTGACGACTGTAAACCAAAGTCCGCCATCAGGATCGCTTACCATGGACTCACCCTCTCAGTCCCTAGATAGCGGTCTAGTACCTTCATCTGCCCTCACATCAACCGACCTCACCACTACGAACAACACCACAGATCTAGCACCAGCCTCCGGAACCCCAGACCCAGAACAGAAAAAAACCAAGAGGATAATACGAAAGAAAAGGCGGCCAGCTCGGCCTCAAGTTGATCCTTCATCCCTCAAACATGAACCGCCGCCTCAAACAGGGACCATCTTCAACATCTGGTTCAACAAGTGGTCAGGCGGCGACCGCGAAGACAAATATCTCTCCAAGACCGCAGCTCCTGGTCGCTGCAACATAGCTAAAGACTCCGGTTACACAAGAGCGGACAAGGTAGCCGGGAGCTATTTTTGTCTGTTCTTCGCAAAGGGACTCTGTCCCCGAGGACAAGAGTGCGAGTACTTACACCGCTTACCCGGCCTGTTCGATACCTTCAACCCAAATGTCGATTGCTTCGGGAGAGACAAGCATAGCGATTACCGGGACGACATGGGCGGCGTCGGTAGCTTCATGCGGCAGAACAGGACGCTCTACGGTGTGTGTCTTCTATCCTTTTTGTATGTGCGTATAGTTGCCCGTACGAAACTAAAACGTCTTGACAGTTGGCAGGATACACGTCACAGACGACATCGAAGAAGTGGTAGCTCGTCACTTCGCGGAGTGGGGCCAAGTTGACCGCATACGTTGTCTTACCGCCCGAGGCGTTGCCTTCGTCACTTACACCAATGAAGCAAACAGCCAATTCGCAAAGGAAGCTATGGCGCATCAAAGCCTAGATCACAGCGAGATTCTGAATGTACGATGGGCGACTGTGGATCCGAATCCCATGGCGCAAAAGAGGGAAGCGAGAAAGATCGAAGAGCAAGCTGCCGAGGCGGTCAGGAGGGCTTTACCAGAAGAGTTTGTCAGGGAGATTGAGGGCAGGGATCCCGATGCCAAGCGGCGCAAGAGGATTGAAGCCGGCTTCGGGCTTGAGGGTTACGAGGCGCCCGATCAGGTGTGGTATGCTCGGAGTAGGGAGCTGGAAGGTGGTGGAGGACAGACCACGCTCGAAGGGGAGGAGAGATACCTTATTGAGGATGGTCAGGACGGTGAAGCAGCGGCTGAAGGAGGGAAGGGTATACTCTCAAATTCAACTTTGACGGCCCTACAGAAGCATACTTCGAGCAACGCAGGGGCAATCCGGACAGTTGCGCCGGCTGCAGCACCAGCAGGTCCTTTGGTGGGCTATGACAGCGATGATGATAGCGATTGAGACTTTTACAGTGATACCCAAGAAGAGTGCAATTGCAGTGATCAAGAGCTTGACGTTGACACAGTCATCGACGCCTATGCCCTGTTGAAATTGACTAGCGTAGAGATATAGAGAACAAGACGTAGACATTTGGTCTACGTATCGCTATGCTGGCGCATTTGTCTACATATGAATTAAGGTAGGAGGGACAATAACCTTGATTCAACAACTACTCTGTTGAAACAACGTCAGATGGATACCCTGGGTATAAGCACCGCTATGCTTGCATGATTGAAATATCACGCCACAAAAACACCGGTGGCGGGTCCCAGGACATAATATTTGTACCTCTGATTCAAGCACGGAAAAGGAAATTATGCTGGCAATAGACCTAGTTCCAACGTCGTTTTGGGGGTTAATAGCAAGCAAACCTGTCCATATTATCATTAGGATGCCTTCCCCAGGTTATACGAGATGCACGCCTTTGTACGGAAATTGTAGACAACCGCGGTTGAGTTCCCAGGTACGGCCTCTTTTGCCATGGTTTTGAGTAGATTGTGCAGCTGTCCGAGGTACTGGCGCTCGCCTGGAGCAGCGCTTTGAATGAACTTCTTCCATGATTCAGGATCTGAGAGGCGTGTGTCGATTATCCCCTCGAAGATGTCGTCCTTGGTTTCAATGGCTACGATAGGGCCATCTGCACAATTCTGGAGATATTCCGCCCTATGTTGTTGGGCTAACACGGTTAGCACATGTAGAGTCGGAAAAGGTTGCGGAAAACTCACCCTCTTCCACGATAGTCTTTCGATTAACCTTCTTGCCCTTATTCTGCGACATCAGAACTTTTATATCTACTTCACGATCGGTCTCAGTTCCGTTCACGTCTTGTTGGCTGCTTTGATGTTGTATTGATACTCTTGGTGTCCGGCCTTCTAGTCTGTCTCGCTCACGAATTTCGCCACGAAGATGTCCAGTGAGATCTGATAGTCGGATCTCGATCTCATCCTTTCTGCTGATTGATTTGACTTTCATTGAATCCTCCGACTTGATCAACACAACCCAGCTATGGTCTTGACGGCTTTCTTTGCTTTTCGCAAATATGTTCTCGGCTTTGGTACCGTGGTCTTCCTCTGCAAGCTCTGCGCTGATACCATTTGACCAAAGCTCGTGCAGTATATCGACACCGACCGAGTCGAGGTGAGCTTGGTCGAAACTATCGATAAGAACATCGCATCGTCTCTTGCTCCACGCCAGACCGATTAGAGATTGAGACTTCCTCTTGGCCTTTGATTTCGTTCCCCTCTTGAGGTAACTCACCATATCCGCGCAAAGCCCTGTCCAAGCAAGCTGAAACCCTACAGCATAGACGTGGTTCTTCCTTGACGTGATAAGCTGGTGATCGTGGATAAGATGATCATAGCGGCCTCCAGCGGCAAGGACCGATCTCTTCTTCTGGTCGTAGAGACATTGGAATAACAGATTTCCACGGTAGAAATTCTCATTGTAGCTGCTTAACGGATTGAGGTACACCTTTCGCTTGACATTGAAGCGGACCAGGTAAGTGATGACGGCCTGCATGTGAGCAAATGCCGACTCAAGATCAGCAGTGTCTTTGATGATTGACCGAATCCTCGCAATAGCCTTTTCCAGTGTATCTCGGAAATCAAAGCGTTCAAGCTCATCCAGTGAAGTCGCAGCAACAGCAATGGAAGGTCCACGTAATTCGTGCCTTACTTTTGCAAATGTCCACTCCCCTGTATGAAGCTTGCTGACCGTTTCTTTGACGGCAGGCCATTTCGAAACCTCGACATCGCAGAAACGCAGGATGGCATCTAGTAATTGCGCATGATTAATATGGTAGCACATCTGCACCGATGCCAAGCTCGGGAATGTGTCAAGGATCTCATCAATGACTTTGAGTACTTCAGCCTCACGAAGCGCAAGGTTGAGGCTATTTTCTGACACAATATCGAAGTTAGCTTCCCCAAATATCTTGGGCTGATCCCGTAAATGATCGACCCGATACACATTGTCAAAGACGAAAGTTTTCGGTTCTGGTCTAGAGTGTCGAGCCAACAACATGGCATTCGGTAGTATTAGGTCATACGGTAACTGCATGACTTTACCCGTGGGAGAAAGGAACTGAACGACATCTGCTGACGGATAGCAAGAGTGATATGGGAACAGAGCCGGGCTGTCCGTTCTTTCAACGGCGCCATGACGATGAAAAATTGCTGTCAGTCTTTCTCTAACCATGGCCTGAAGATCCAAGTCGTCGGGCAAAGACCGTGACATAGCCCTTACATCCTCGAGCAACGTGACTGCCCGCATCGGATCCGTAGGTGCGATTCTCATTGTAATTGACGAATTGTCTATCGCATGCCTCTCGTTGAACAGACTGTTGATGAATTGTGACCGAAAGTGTGAAGTTCGATCGGCTAGAAGCCGGCGTGCCATGCGAAAGGATTCATCTTCATCTTGGACTGGAATCTGACCGCTTTGAAGAAGTTCCGAACTGCTGGGTCTGTGGGTTGACTTGTGCTGGATCAACGACATAAAAATCACTGCTTGAGTTGCTTTTTCTGTATTGTCTAGGGCCGAGGGAAGCGCATGGTCCTCTTTCTGCAACAATTCCAGCGTCTCGGCCCGCTCCATACCCGTGAAGAAAGGAACATTCATCTCGAGAAGTATCACGCCTAAGGAGTACATCTGATGTCAAGACGTTAGCATAAACTACAAAAAGGGCTATGTGTGAAAGACTCGACGTTGTAGATGCCGCAGATGTTTCGAGGAACAATAAGGCTCGGACAACAAAAAATCTCCAAAATCCAGACTTTGGCTACCGTTCACGGTGGAATAGGGTAGTATGGCAGTTGAGCCAGCATTCCTAGAAGCCTGCTGAACAATCTTGAGTTCTAATCTGCCATTCTTGCTTGCTTGAGCCTTTAAAAAGCATTCTTCGTCGGGTTTTTACCCTCAAAATGGATCGACGCACAGAACTCTTTGTGATTTGACGACCGCTCTGTAGGATTTAGGCCTCAATTCATGGGTTTCAGCAAAGGCTCCGGGAATCCTTGTGACAGCATAAATAGAGGGCCGTCACCCAAAATTGAGGTAGGAATCGCGGTGCATCTTGGCAGGCGAGCGGGTTTTGTCCAAGCAGAAAGCCAAGAAAGACACTTACATCTGCCTTTTCATTGTACTTTCCATTCCCTGCCGATCGGACTTCTGGCGCAACATAGGAGGCAGTGCCTACGTCCTTGGTAAAGCTACCAAAAACTTCCCTTGTTGCTGTACGAGGGTTGTTGACAGAGGTCCGGTAGTCGCCAGGTCTTGCCAAACCGAAGTCGCCGATACGTACGTCGCCGTCACCTGCATAATCAACAATGACTTACTAAAGCAATTTTACAAGGCAGAATAAGAAAAACCTCTGAGAAAACAGCGAAATAGCTTAGCATGTCCGGCCAAAATCGACAACCTTGAATCCGGAGAGACTTGAAACGCCGATTGCAACGACGCGTGCATAGATCAGGAAGACTAGTCCCAAGAATAACATGCGTTTTTCATGTATTTCCCGAAAGGACAACAAAGGGTTTGGCAAGCGGCCATGGAGTGTGAGAAATACCGAGTAGACAAAATTGAGAGGAGAACTGAAAGCCAGAGTGACGTACTATCAATGAATATGTTTTCGGGTTTAAGATCACGATGGACGATCGAAGCAGCGTGTATGTGCACTAATCCTTGAACGATTTGCCGAAATAGTCTCCAGCTTTCAGCAGCATTTGCATGTAGACCGGAGTTGATAAGGTCGCGTAGAGTCTAGAGTGGCCTGTCAGTAAATGCAGCTTGGGATGTATTGAATCTTATAGCGCGACATATTTTAGGATAAGAGGCCCGCCATAATCATCAGCATTCATACGCTGCCAGCGATGACTTGATATCATTGGGGCTTTTGTCCCATTCTGCGTGCCTCGAACATGGTCAACGAAAGGGAGCCTACCTCTGGTTTGCAGTATTCCATCTGGATGTAAAGTACTGTCCACATCGCCTGTCCCTGAGAACCTAACCAGGATCCTGCTTCGATAACGGGGATACTCTTACCGACTCCGTCACTATCGGGCTCAATTGGTCCGGGGCTACTGCCAGAGCTCTGGTCTGCGTCCTCGTCATCACTGCCTTCATCTTGGCTGGATTCCTCCGCGATTGTATCTGCGTCAATTTCATTGCCGAAGACAACGTGCGCGTTGCTCGAGCTTATGAAGTCGAGACCCCTCGAACTTGACGGTAAGACGGGTCTATTTCCCCCATTAGTGAGCGAAGACAGGGTCTCATTCCCTGACGATTCTGAACTAATATGATCGTCCACCGCAATACCATCATCTATCCATGCCGCAAAGTACCTGACCACGTTCGGATGGTTGAGGCGGGACAGGACTGTCACTTCGCTGAGCACAGGGTCTAAAGCGGATTTTGACCGAGCTTTGATTTTCTTGACTGCATATGGCTGTCCGTCTACGCAGAATTCGGAGTTAGCAAAGCCTATTTGAGACAGAAGTTGGATCTGCAAGACAGGTCTCGGGAGTAGAAAGGTCATTTTGCCCCCAAGATATGTCTTGTGACTCGATCTTACTACCGGTTAGGAAGAATCAGCTCCAAAATCGACGCACCGACTTTGTTTCTCGCTTTAAAGACCTCTCCGAAGCCACCACGACCGAGGCGACCGTCTTCCACAAACTCCTTTGCATAGCGTGATTGCGGAGCCGCAGTCGATTCCCGTCGAAAATGGTGCCGCTGCAAGCCTTTACCATCAGAGGGTGCGGCCTCTCCAGAAATCGAAGAGAAGGTGGGATCCTCATCGAGCAAATGATCATCATTGCGGAAGAACTCAAAATGTAACAAATCCCAAGCAGAGGGGCGCTTCTTGGGGTCGTTCTGGAAAATCTGGCTTAGCAATGCCATTAAACTCTTGCTCATTTTTAGCTCCTCCATCAGAGACTTTGGGGATGGATGTTCCAAAATGCTCAATCCGAAGGCCATCTGCAAGAAACAACGGCCGAAGTCCCATATATCTGTCGCTGGCATGGCCTCCGCTTGGCTGTTGTTGTTGACTACTTCGGGCGCGGTCCAGGCAATCGAGGAGTACCTTGAGGTATTACCCTTTTTCAGCAAGTGCAAGTCGCGTTGGTACCCTCCATCTGACAGCTTGGGGACGGTGACTTTCCTATCACCCCTCTCTGCTTCGCCTGTTTCTAGGAGTACGTTACCCAAGTGGAGGCTTGCGTGTGCAGATCCATGTCGATGGTAATGTTGGAGACCTTCGATGAGCCGTATAGACCATGCACGCACCAGCTTTGCGTCCAATTTGTCGACAACTTCCAGGGTTTCCCGTAATGACCGTCTCTCAGCAAGTTCCATTAGTATAATGATGGTCCAATTGGCATCATCACTAGAAGACGAAGGTTCGGTGGCAGTATCCCGCTGAATTCGAAAAGTAAGGGGCTGAGAGATGCACTGATGGGAATTGAGTTGGGTATGAAACTCGAGTCTTGACTCTAAGTTCTGGACAGCTCGTTTCGTCGATGAAATCTTACATTCTTTGAGAACTAAATAAGGCGGATTCTCGTGGGTGGATACCGCTTGATCCACGTTCCATGGCTGGACTGTAACCACGTTAGATACTGGACCTTGACGGTATTGAACCCTTTGATGTACGGTGTGTATGGTCATTGTCCCACTGTCATTTCTGTTTCTCGTTCGTGCGGGGCGTTCAAAGGTGACACCTCCAAGGATATCCTCCCCACTAACCGGTTCATCCAATTGATTTATTGACTTGCTGTTGCGCCTGTTGGATCGTGATTTTCGGTGCTTGACCATTTCTAGAAGCATTTGTTCCTCTTCTTCGTCAGCCTTAATGGCCTGTTGCCGCCTTTCTTCTTCATCTTGTTCGGCTTTAAGTCTTGCGGCAACCTCTCTTGCGGCTCTTTCCTCGTCTAAGGTAGGGACGATGTTTAATGAGGTAGCATTATCATCAAGAAGGTCTTGCAATGAAGTAGCAATTTCGAAGATCATTTCAGAGCCAAGTAGAGATTTTGGCTTGCTGCTGATAATATCTTGAGCTTGCTTTTGTTCTTTTTGACGAATCGAGTGTCCAAAACGCAGATTCAAACGCGGAAGAGATTTGGGATAAGTAGGCGGCAAAGAGACAGCAAGAGTAAGAGCGATGTTCTGTTCCTCGCTTGTTTGATTACGGAGATTGATTTGGAAGGCCCGATCAGCAGCTTTCTTCCATGCCCCAGTCTTTGCTTCCTCCTCCAGGAAATCGTCCATATAGATAGAGCGCAAAGCCTCGATCTCATCATGCTGGATCTCGGAATAATTAGTTGTAATCGGAGCCATCGTCACGAGTCACGGTCGGCTGCAGCAATGCGCACAACACCACTTATGAAATTAGAAAGACGCCCGAGCAAGCCTGCAGCCTAGTTGTCGCCCCCCATGGTCATAATCACTCTTTTTTTTCCCCATCAGGCGGTGGAGGTGGTACAAATTTTTGACTATCTCCAGACCCTGAAATGTTCTTCGAAGGTTACTTTTATTTACTGTTTTATGCAATCTCTGCATTAACAAGCGCGTTTGCCGCAAGTATTCCCGCGTGGCGATTCCTTTTGATAAGTAAAGTAGGTATTGCCGAGACCTACTCTACATCAAAGTATCTAGTAGATTGTCCAAAGTCGATTTCAAATTTTGGCAATTTACTTCCAAAAATCTCCTCCTATCTCGGAGTTACTAACTTGTCGCCGACATGGTCAACATCACCGAGAAGATCAAAGAGTAAGTAGCGTCTCAAGCCTTACACCAGACCATGCTAAGCTTCTTCAAAGGATCGAGGATGAAATGCGAAGGACGCAAAGTAATTCGACATTCGCAACATCGATACCAGTTGTTGACTGACTTAATAACAGAAAATAAGGCGACAGGTATGGTCGTTCGGCCGAAACGTGGATATCCAAGATTGACGGTCTGAAGAGTACCATCTTGGTCTACTGAAAGGGTACTCCTTCTCTGATTCTCATTATGGAAAAATTTAAGAACTTGTGCATTGTTAGGAAGCTCGCCCGCCTTCGTGCTCAGCTGCTTGAACCAGCTCCTGGTGCAGGGTCAGGCGGTGGGACCGGGTTTGATGTTAGCAAAAGCGGTGACGCACGGATTGCGCTTGTGGGCTTTCCTTCTGTTGGCAAATCCACTTTCCTCTCCAAAATTACGAAAACGAAGAGCGAAGTTGCGGCATATTCTTTTACTACTCTGACGGCCATCCCCGGTGTACTTGAATACGGAGGCGCAGAAATCCAAGTTCTCGATCTGCCCGGAATTATTGAGGGAGCTTCCGAGGGTAAGGGACGAGGGAGGCAGGTCATCAGTGCTGCGAAGGTAAGAAAATCTGGCTCGCGACAGCTTTGATTACTCACATACATCGAGACAAGCGACCTGGTCTTGATGATCCTTGATGCCACCAAGAAGGCAGAGCAGAGGGCGCTGCTTGAGGGCGAGCTTGAAGCTGTTGGCATTCGATTGAATCGAGAGCCACCGTAGGCGATGCTGTTAGTGAAGAATCAAACCAGTGCCCTAATCAGTCTCCAGTAATATCTACCTGAAACCGAAAAAAGCCGGAGGCATGAAAATCACATTTCAAAATCCTCCTAAAAACCTTGACGAGAAGATGCTGTACAATATACTACGAGACTACAAGATGCTGAACTGTGAAGTGCTTGTTCGAGACGAGAACGGTAAGCGTTACAACCCGAATCCTCTTGGAGAGGCTAATCATAGGCAGCGACCGTTGTGAGGCTTTTCTCGTACTTATCTCATCCTTTTCGAGACTGATTTTAGAGTCGCGGGACATGTTGGGGGAACAAGTTACCCAATCTAGCACCCTTTCTGCTCCCCATACATGCCCTGATACTCAAATCTTTATCAACGAATTCGAATGCTGACGCGGAAATGTGCTAGGATGACTTTATCGACGTCATAATGAAGGATCATAGGAAGTATATCAAATGGTATGCTCGATCTCCGAGACCCTTACGAGTACCGCTAAGCTTTTGAACTAAGCTTGTACGTTTACAACAAGATTGACTCCGTCTCTCTCGATTTCCTCGACAAACTCGCCAGAGAGCCACACACTGTGGTCATGAGCTGTGAGCTTGATCTGGGCATCCAAGACGTGGTCGAGAGATGCTGGCAAGAATTGCAGCTAATGCGGATCTATACGAAGCGGTGCGGAGTATTAGATGCCCAAGAACTTCATCCAGCTAATGAAGCTGCAGGAAAGGGGAAGAACCAGACTTTAGCGAAGCACTGATTGTCAGAAACAAATCTTCAATAGAAGAAGTCTGCGATCAGGTTCACCGAACGCTTAAGGAGACATTCAAGTATGCTATGGTGTGGGGAGCTAGCGCTCGACATGTACCCCAGAGGGTCGGGTTAAGTCATATTGTGGCGGACGAGGATGTTGTTTCGATTGTCGCCAAATAGGTTGAATGGCAGCTTTGTTCTACTCACGGCTTCCGAGTCAACACCACGGGGCTGATAATGATACGATCATGAAAGGCAAATGGATGGTGATGCCATCACGCTCGTACTAAATGTTAGAGGTATATTGGATCGCCTCGGATGAGCAAACGATGATGAGTATAGATGTTGGACTCTAAAGGAGCCGACGTAGTTGGAATACCTTCAAGTGGATGATTTGTACAAGATTTTCGAGGAATTTTGCTTTGCCACGGGAATTTGGGAACCCCAATCTAGAGCCCTAATCTAAGCGCGAACACTTATCTTATCAATACATGTAATCAATACATGTACATTACAGTACAACATAGAAGCTTCTCGAAGGTTCTACCAATCACAGCCTGTTTTTGCTCCGGACGAAAAGGTCACATGTCTGCCCCTCAAACAAAAGTCACCGCAGAAGCCTCGTGAAGAGGACTTGAGCGTTGTTCAGTATATGCGAAAAAGCAATGATTCTGTCTCCACCTTGCCACTCAACATCTTGCCCATCTTGCCCACCTTGCCCTTAGTTCGCCAATTGAACAAAACAAACTGCCATTGACCACCTTCCGTTCCACCAATTTGTTCTACATTTTGATACCATCGTCGAGCTTTGCGCCAGTAGTCTTCCATACCCTGTGTCAATTGACTTTGCTTCCACTTCTACTACGACTCGACATACCAAGACTTTGGAACGCCCTCGCCGAACATGGTAGCAGAAACAAAGCTCTACGATGCTCTCAGCATAAAACCCGAATCCACCCAAGACGAAATCAAGAAAGCCTACCGGTAAGCTCTCCTCCTATTCCATTGCAACCATTCCATACTGACATTCTTTTTGGCAGAAAAGCAGCCCTGAAACACCACCCTGACAAGAACCCAGACAACCCCAAGGCCTCCGAGATGTTCAAAGAAGTCTCCCAAGCCTACGAAATCCTCTCCGACCCGGAGAAGCGCAAAGTATACGACCAATATGGCCTCGAGTTCCTCCTCCGCGGCGGTGCTGAAGCTCCTCCGCAGGCTGGCGGCGCTGGCGGACCAGGAGGGATGCCTTTCGAAGGAACGAACTTTGGCGGAATGGGCGGGGGAATGCCAGGTGGAGGACGATCGTTTCATTACTCAATGGGCGGAGGGGGCGGGGGCTTCAGTGGCGGCGACCCGTTCAAAGTATTTGCGGAATTCATGAGGGGGGGCGGTGCGGGCATAGGAGACGATGATGACATCTTTTCCCAATTCACCGGTGGCGGTAGAAGTTCACGGGGGTCGAGAAAAGACTCATATGCTGGGAACTCAATGAGGAGGAGGGATCGGTCGCCGGAGATTACCACTGTGGAGAGGCCGTTGCCCGTGACGCTGGAGGAACTATACAAAGGAACCCATAAGAAGATGAAGATCAAGCGGAAGACGTTCGATCCACGAACGCAGAAGCGGAATGTTGAGGACAAAATTCTGGAAATGGACATCAAGCCTGGCTACAAGGCTGGGACGAAGATGAAGTTTAAAGGGGTGGGAGATCAGGAGGAAGGGGGGACACAGGATCTGCATTTCATTATCACTGAGGTAAGATGTTCTTTGCCCAAAACTTCTTTCGAAATGCTGACAATGTTGCAGAAAGAACACCCACTTTTCAAGCGCCAAGACGACAACCTCATAGCCGTCATCGAGCTAGGACTAAAAGAAGCCCTCACGGGCTGGCAACGAACGATATCTACCATCGACGGCAAGCAAGTCCCAGTGCGCGGCGGCGGACCCACACCACCAGGCTACAGAGAAACCTTCCCGCATCTTGGCATGCCGAAGAGTAAGGGTAAGAACAGAGACGAACGTGGAGACATGATCGTGGAGGTAAAGGTCAAGTTTCCAACGAGTTTGACATTGGCTCAGAAGAGCCAGTTGAAGGAGATTTTATGATTGACGAAACTGCATCTGACTCGGGCGTTTAGAGGAGCCCCTATAGAGGCGGTGGTTTTGAAAGCGAAGTTTGCGGGCGTTCAAGCTTTTGGTAGTAGCCAATACATGCTCTCTCGGTAGGAGAGCATACCAAGACGGAATGGAGACCTTGACAACGTCCATCGATTCCCTACAGAAGCCCACTTTTCGTGTTGTCACTTTCCGTCACCAGAAAGCCTCATGAATTGAATATCCTCGAATACAGCAGCTCATGCCTGCCAAGCCACAAATCACACATCGGCACCCCTTGCGCTGCATCGTCAATACCCACGTCCCAATTCTTGGCCATCAGATCTTCAATCTGCCCCCTTAACCATCCACTTGCCAGCACCCCCTGCGCGGCATACGGCCCCATGACACTCGCCCTGACTGCCGCACTCACCACTGCCTTCGCGTGGTTGAACAGGAAAGTATATGTGGATTCATGCAGCGTGATGCCCATTGCACAAGTCACCGCTGCCCAGATCGGAGCGAAGTGTCCGCTGAGCTCATCGTCATTGTCGCAGTGTAACGGTGTCTTTCTCATTTCCAGCGAGAACTGCGCCAGGGCCAATGCAGCGGGCGAGTCTCCCGCTCCTGTCCTCAATGCCCTTTCCCAGAGCGTGAGCAACGCCTTCCCTTGCGCCACACTTGCTCTCCTGGCCACAGGGCATAAAGTGCATGCGTCGAGAGTAGCGTCCAACTCTGGGAGCTGCTTGGGAGATCTATGGGCAGCCAAAAGATAGGGAAGCGTGGTTGTAGCAAGAGTTGTAAGTGCTAGCGTGAGGAAATGGGAGAAAGCTTCTGATGCAGCTTTCGGATTGGCAGGAAAAGGGTGATGTGCGAGGTAGGACTCCAAGCCATTGGAGAATGCAAAAGAGCCTAAAGGGAGGGCGGAGTCGGAGAGAAGAAGAAGAGCGTGGGACGGTAGACCATTGGGAGGAAAAGCGGGGTGACTGTCCGAGGCGGGCGGAGGTGGAGGGGAATGGTTCAATTGGGCACGGGCAGCGGTGGGTTGGATCTCTAGACGAGCGATTTCTTCTGTGACGGTTTTCTCGTCTGTAATGCTGCTCATCGAGGAAACATAGCTAGGTGTGCTCAAGGCCAGCCGAGGGTCGGGGACAAAAGTCGTTGGACACTTTGGTAGGGCTTAGCGGGGATCGGTGTCCAACGACTTTTGTCCCCGACCCTCGAGCCTCGGCAACGAGGTTGACTGTCTCGACTGTCTTTTTCTCCGCAAGGCTTGGCGGCTTGGCAGCGGAGTCCAAGCTTGACCTCTCGGACCTCTCCTTAAATCTCTAACCACCCTCTCCTCTCCAATGGGCAAGACGAAGAGGCCAAAGGTGAAGGCTTCCAGTTCTAAGCCATACTCGAAAGCTGCAGCTGCAAACACGAAATCTCGATCTTCCTTGCGCAAGCTCACAAATGACGCGAAATCTCCATCCCCACCAGTTCCGTTCCTGTCTAGCGACCGCATCCTTCTGGTTGGGGAAGGCGACTTTTCGTTCTCCAGCTCCCTTCTCAGCGCCCATCGTTGCACTCATTTGATTGCGACTAGCTACGACAAAGTCTCCGCGCTCCGAAGCAAATATCCACAAGCAGCCTCCAACATCGCCGCCCTCGAAACAGAGGAGAATTGCATAGTTCGGTATGGAGTTGACGCAACCAAGCTTGGGAAACCAGGAGTAGCAGAAGGCGGTGGAGGAGGAAAAGAGGTCAAAAAGGGCGGCTTTGACAAAGTAGTATTCAATTTCCCGCACGTGGGCGGCTTGACAAAGGATGTGAATCGACAGGTCAGGCACAACCAAGGTCAGAAACACCATACATTTCTTTAGTACAGGCCGGGGGCTGTCAATCCGGCTGACCGATTCGCGAAGAACTCCTCGTCGGTTTTTTCAAAGCTGCGCTACCGTTGCTGGCTCCTTCAGGATCGATCATTGTTACTATCTTCGACGGCGAGCCGTACGAACTTTGGAACGTCAGAGATCTCGCGCGACATGTGGGCTTGAAGGTTGAGCGGAGCTTCAAATTCCAGGCCTGTGCCTATCCAGGATACCAACACGCCAGGACTCTCGGGAACATTGGAGGCGGAGGAGGCTGGAAGGGTGTTGATCGGCCAGCCAGGACGTATGTCTTCGAGGTCAACGATGGAGGAACACGGGGAGCACTAAGGAGCAAAAAGAAAAGCGAAGACAGTGACTCGGAAGATGACTGATCAACAGACCAGTCCTTATCGGAATATCTTAGTGCTCCCCAAAGATAACGCCTTCCCTATCAATCTCCACTGGCTATGCTGACAACTAAACAACTTGTGGGTTTGGGAAAAGGTCTGGGCATTAGGATATGTACACTTTCCGAATCTCTGAGGCTGGATATATGACAGAAGTCGTCGGATCTTTTACCTGGCTCGCGTCCAGACCCACCTTCGCACTCATCTCAAGCAGTCGATCTCTCCCGTACACCCTGCCGTTCGGCAGGACGACGGGGTCATTCTCAACATAACTCTTTGTATGGTGTGCGTAGGGCAGGTTGCGAGCAAGATCATTCAGCTCCGTTGAGCAAATCGGACAAACCGATGTCGTTGTCGAACTTGCATTTGCTGTGCTGCTCGCATGCTTCGAATGGCAAGAAGGTGTCTTGAGAGCCGAAAGTCCTGCGGAAAGCGCTATGTGGAGGAGTGGACGTGCAGGGAGTGAGAAGAGCTCGTGGTGGGTATTGACGAAGAGTTTGGCTAGGTCGTCCCATCGAGATTCGGAATATAATTTCTGTCCCTGTCAGCATACAGGCAATGAACGTCTCTGTATGGCTCCTGACCTTATATTCTTGCACTTGGGTGTCTGGTCGATAGGCAAGGAGCCCCGCAGCTCTGTTCACCTCTTCAAGATATGTACCAGCATGTTGGGTCAGGTATTTCTGCGCATGTTGCCGGGCTTCCACAAGCTGCCCATTCCGGCGAAGTTCAATGTACTGTTGCAACCGAAGCTCAAACTCGAGGCGATTCTGCAGAGTTCCTACTATCAGCATCTCGTGCTTTCATAAGCCCCTTGAGGACAGCTCTCACATCAAGCTTCTTCATCATCGGCCGATGCTCCGCACACCAGGCTAAGCACTCCTGCGTACTCTTCCTCCTCAAGCTCTCCTCGATCCTGTGGCACTGCACAAAGACCTCCAGATCCACCAACTCCTCAATGCCCTTCTCCCTCGCCAGCGCCCTGGCACTTTCGACATATCCACACCTGAGTAAATAATCCACCAGTAACCTATTTAACCTCACCCTCGACCACTCATCGTATTTCACGTCTGCCAAACTGGGTATCTCGTATAGATTTTGTAAATGCTGTATGCGCTTCCTAGACGCCTGATGCAGAGCCTTCTCTTCGCTGTGTAGAGTTTCCATCTTCCGCTTCAAACCTTGCATTCGATTTATCATGTTGTCTAGGGAAGCGACTGTTTTGGATGCATCTTGGCCGGCCAGGGAGGCGTTGGCTGTGGATTTGAGAGCCGAGAGGACGTCCTTGTTCTCCCTCTCGACGTGCTTCTGGACAATCTTGAAGTTTTTTCGGGCAAATTCATGTGGGAGGCGGAGGAGGGGTTGATCCTGTTCATGGTATCTCGTTAGCTTTCAGATGTTGGGAGCATTGGGTATATACCAAGAGCAGGTGGCTTTCCGCATTGAGTTTTGTGGTTGTGAGTTCGGCGGCCATTGCGAGAGACTCTGCGGGGGTTTGAAACCCACTGGATGCGAGCTTGGCGATTTATCAGGTTATACTCTTGTTTTGCCTCCAAAATGGTCTTGCTGTTTGTCCAATGGATATATAGTTGAGGAAGGATGGAGAGAACCTGGTCATGGGGCTTGGCACCTAGAACGAAGGTCGCATGGGGGTGGCCGCTAAACTTGGGTGAGCTAGTTGAGCTAGGTGAGTACCGAGGTACCCTACAGACTTCTGTGCCAAGATCCCGCCTAAAATCGAATGTCTATGAATTACTATTATTTCACAACAACATAATGAAGATCTTGGAAAAATTACTAATCATATAACTCAGCGCCGCATTCCTAGGGTTTGTGGCTGTCTATCCATGCTATCTTGCGTGAGATAGATGGGTTGGCCCCTGCGTTGGCAATGATTCCATGCACGAGTCGAACCTTCCCTTGTCATGCAATAATACTACGTACTTCAGCGCTTCCAAACGGCCCCTGATAACGCGTGTGAAACAACTGGTCGACGGGTCCCAAAGGTGGCCTTAGAGGCTGTACAGCGCGGCGTCTTCTCCGAAGTCTTGAGAGAGACCGGGGCTCTATCACGTGCGCTTTGCCCTGGGTCGCATTCGGTGTTCTGAAGGCGTCACTCTGTATTTTCTCCGTCGTTACTTTGATCGTCTGTTAGAAGAAACTCAGAATAGAAAGCTTCTCGGAAGACCCTGTAGTCGTTATCTTCACCTGCATCAAGAGCGTCGGGAAGTACGTCCTCCTCAGCATCGGAGTCCTCCTCAACATCAAAGTCCTCCTCCTCAACACCGGAGTCCTCCTCAACATGGAAGGCTTCCTCATCAGCGTTCTCGTCGCTCATCGCTCGTCATTGGTTTCCTTATCGTCATCTTCGTTGGCTACCTTTTCACCACCGAAGTACTTTGTCCTCGACCTCCCGATCATCAACCTCCATGCGATTTGATCCTCCACTATCAACGCTGAAAGCAGTATCGCTAGCTTCGGGTCTGATAGATTTAAAGTAACGATCTAAGGTAGTATTCTGGGTGTCATTGTCCTCTAGCCACGCCAGTTTTTCGAAGCCTTGAAGCAAGCCTTCGAGTACATTGCGCTCTTTAGGAGACTTCGTTAACTCGGCTGGCAGCCGTAGGATCTGCGCTATCTGTATTGCATCGACTGCGGCGGTGTGATTTTAATTAATTAAAGGATCTTATGGAAATAGGATTCTGAAGGTAAGAGGTAAACTCGATGTTTCGAGTTTCAGTACTTGTCCAAGGAACCTTTGAATAGCTTGAATTAGAGTATGACTTGAATTTGGGAGAAGCCGTCGGCTGTCATAGCCATTCTGTTTGAGAACCAGATATGTATTTTTTAGGTCAAGAAGAGGAGCGCTGATGGCTCCACTCGACGATTTTATGATTTACTTTATAAATCGGTAATTTTCGAGTTATTTTATTATCTCAACAGCAGTGCGGATTTGTTGAACATGCTTAGATGTCGAAGATTTCTGGTTCAATTTTTGCGACGCGAGCTTTGTTGACGTATCTATGGCCCTTTTATCGTCAGTCAATACAGCGTTAACAACAATCTGACCAGTTTTGTGTGGGCTATCCAGCCTTTCAATAACGCTTCGGAACATGACTAAACCTGTTTTGCGTTTGTTATTCATGCTGCAAACAAACGAAATAACGTTGTTTGTCCGGTACTTTGAAGAGCACCATTCAATGTATTTGAGCATGCGCTTGACTCACGCGACCACCTCATGACTGGAAGGATTGCTAGGTTTGGCGAGGTTGATCACACCGGAGCTAATGAAAGATTTGAGGTCACGCTTGAGAGGAGTACATCCCATAGGGATTGGCGTGAAATGTCCGGTTCGGACGAGTAGTCTGTTGTCATCTTTGAGGAGCAATGGCCTGTCGCTGGTATCGACTGCTGGCGTTGTAGCTTCTGGCTTAATGGTATAGTCCACCTCTTGGCCTTTGGCAGGAACGTCTGCCATCTTTCGAATTGACTGACGCTGACACGTGATGGATACTATTGCGGTCGCTCTTTCATCCTTTTGGGGTTCGTAGAAGTTAGAATTGTCTGTAGGTGCCAGTTGCAGTTTCTTGCGGACATGTGGGAGGGAGCTCTAGCCGAACGCGCATTTCTTGGCATGGCATCGTCTTTCCGAGTTCCGACTCTCGAGACTCTCCAAATTTTCAGGGATCTCAATGCCATGGTGAACGTCTTTTGCATTCTACTACTCATACATCAGAAGAACCGACGCTATCCTGCTTCTCCTAGCAGCTCAATCTCCCCCAAGTCGCCGACCCTGCCCTCGAGTACCCCATGCACTTGAAAATCCAAAGCCGCTTGACGTGCCACGACCGGGTGCTTGAGTTGCAGGTCTGAATGCAGTCCCGTAACCTCTTGCTTGGGAGCTGGACTTATCTGCCCCAAACCAGCGCTTGACGATCGCAGGTGTGCGGATGAAGTTCTTCCCACCGCCAAACGTTGGGTAGAGGCGGGTTAGAAAGTCGTAGAGATGAGCAGCCAGAAGACCTGCGCCTTGCTTCAAGGCTGCGTCAGGTCCAGCCATGATGAATGTCATCAGGAGCATTGCCCACGGCAACCAAATCACGTTGAAAGTGATAATAAAGAACGAGACCTTCTTGCCTCTGTTGTCTTGCGAGTATGTGTATGCAATGCCAAGAATGAGAGCTGCCGGCGTTAGCCTATAGTCAGAGACTATCAAGATAGACCATACCCTGAGTGAAGACCGCACCGCCTAGGATAAAACCAGCTGTAGCCTTTTGTAAGTCAGTAAATTTTATAAAAAAATCCGAAGATCAACCGAACCGCCATGAGATACCCAAAAAATTAGATATGTAGGAAGCAAAAACCACCGAACGCGAATTTCAAAGATCACGTAGGCTATCTCAAATTTCGCTTCCACCATGCCTACACCGCACGCAAGCCCTTAAGGATTGATTGCGAATGACGGGCCTGCGCGAGATGCAAGGGTAATCTTCCTCATCTCCAGGAACCGCTTCAGCTAGATGATGGCTGGGCGGGCAGATATGTGAGGTATGCTTGTATATACGCCAAGGAAGGATAAACCAGGGAGGTAGTGAACACGAAAAGCGTAGACAAGCTGAAAGAAGGAGGGTATTTGAACTTACTAGGATCACAAGGCCGAGGAAGATGATGTAGGTGAAGAAATCTCCCGGTTGAGAGAAACGGCCAGACTCCTTCTCGAGGCCGCTCGAGTATGTCCATACTTGATAACTCATGAACACGGAAATTTGTAAGGATGTCGATGAGGCTTACAGAAGTAAGTATCAAAAAGTATGCTTAGACCTCCACCAGTCACCCAAAACGATGTGACAAACCGCCATACTTCTGGCAATGGGAACTTGAATATCCATGGCAGGTAGAAGACGACTCGACTTCCACTAATGATGTTGCCGTATACAAGCAGCGACGTACCAAGCGTCAATGCTGTCAAGGTCCTGTCCTATCAGCATCAGAACGGCTGCCCTTGCTAGAAAAGGCATGAATGGTTGGAGCATGTGAGAGAATTAATGACGTACCTCGACACTGGAGGGGCTGCACGATATGCTTCCATGTAATCGTTGCGCGGTGAACTTTGGATCACTTGTGGATGTGTTTGATGCAAAGAAAGGTAGGATTTTGAAGTCGTGGCTTTTTGCCGTAGGGCTGAAGAAAACTCGCCAAAGGAAATCAGCAGCACGAGTAGCATAGTCTACTCCCTGCTTACATAGAAGAAGATTACTAAACAATGAGAACTATGTCTAGTTTTGAATTCAAGAATTGATATCCTTCCTGTCTCGAAGTTCAAGACTTTGCAAGAGCTCTAGTAAACAACCAAAACAGGTATCCAGATGTAAAAAGACCTTCATATGCAATGCTATTCCCAGATATGATTTGTGCTCCGTTCCCCTGGACTCCGCGCTTTGAATATTCCATCATGATCCATCAAAAACATGCAGCTCCTATGCAAGTCGTGGTCGTTTCGAGTTGAGGCCCGGACCACTAGCATCTCTCATTCGTTTCCGTTCGATTTCTTCCTTCATGATCCGCTCCGCTTCACTTATGGGCTTCCTTGGCAACTCTTTGGGGGGCACTTTTGCTCCAAGAGCACTCCTCTTTAAGACCCCGGCGAAAATGTTCTTTGGCTTGCTTTTCATGCCCATCTTTATCGAAACCTTTTCAGGTGGAGGTGTTGGTACTCCGGTTGGCGGTGATATCGACTTCGTTATCTCCTTTCCGGGTTCTGTCCCGTCATCGCTCTCAAGCTTGGCGACTGCAGACGGCGAGGGGTCCTTGCTTTCCTTCGCCTTGGTCCCAAAGCTGAGCTTGATCTTCTCTCCCTCGTTGGGCTTAAAGTCCCGCGCCTCATAATCGTGGTCCTGCCGAGCCTTCATCTCAGCATCCACCTCTGCCCTTGCAATCTGCTCCCTGATCATCTTCTGCTCCCTCTCCTCGTCGCCCTTGTCCTGCCTCTCCTTTTTCCTTATAGCGTCTTGTCTTCTCAAGGCCTCAGGGCTATTATCAATCCAAGCGATCTGAAGGCCTTTGTCGGTGTCCTCGACCCTGCAGAGCCCCTCACGACCTAAGTGTTTTGCAAATTCTGTTAATGATGGCCATCTTGTTGCATTCATGTGGATACTAGATAACAGATAGAAATCAGTGTTGGTCCTAAAAAGCCAAAGTAGAGCCATAAAAGCAGTTGAACTCCTTCCGCTGTTAGGTCGACAGCACTAGGATTAACAACTTCCTGGGAGGGACCTTTCTGGTGGCTGTCAAAGCGACAGTCGAAGGGATGGAGGACGCAAAGCCGGCTTACTGTTCTTTATTTGCGATATAATTCTGGTAAAAATGGTTCATCTGCACCGCTTTCTCCACATGGCTCGTACGAAGGAGTTGCAAAAAGTCTCTTTGGAATTGATTCGAGAAGTCTGAAATGTGTTTTCGAGGGTCCTGGAACGTTATGTTAGCAAGTGCAAAAGCTTTCTGTTCGGGCGAAGAAAACTTGCCTCGCCAACCAACAGAGCATTTCTCACGTGGGACTCTGCTTGCGTATGGCACTTGAATCCGTTCTCGTCTCTGCATTGCTTTTCACAAATCTGTACACCCCTTAGTACTACGCTCTGACTTTGAGAAACAAGGAGTCTACCTGACAGTACCTGGACAAGGGTTAGCAATCACAAACAGTAGAGCAAGGTGCCGGAAGCTTACCATCTCAGGCGCTGCAGACCCTTGGATTTGAGTTTATTGTTCAGGTATTTCGTACTGCCTACTTCAGCTTTAGGCATGTCGACAATCAGCGGTCAGAATATAAGAGGCGAGAGATGTTGTCTTTTCGCGGGACAGAAAGATGTAAGATATGTAGAGGAAGAAGCTGCTGCACGCTGGTCAACTTTGATAGGGCCTAGTTCTGAGGATCGACTTGCCGAGGTGCCTCTGTTCCTCAGACCAGCCTAGCCTGTCACTAAGCTCTTTCGGCTTAGCCTGCTGACTTCGTAGTAAGCAGAAGGGGCTAATCCGAAGGGGCTTAGCACGCTCTGAGGGACCGAGGCAAATCTCGACTTCACTTCTTTCTCCGTTGAACGGCTTGGGCCACTCTCACCACCGTCAGTTCAGATTGACAGTCCGGAGAATCAAGGGCTTCTCAAATGTATTTACATGGGTAAGATCCAAAATTGAGTACCGCCAAGTTGACAAATCAGCAATTCTTTGTGGATTTGCCCAATCACCTCTGCCACCATTCTGCGAGCATCCCTTCATTCTCATTGCTCTACAATCTCTGCAGCGGCGACTATCTCTCTGTAGGTCGCTATTTGAAGGTGGCACCTTGTAGAAACCATCTTTATGAATATGTGGTTCTTTGTCTTTGCCACCATTCTGCCTGCCTTCTTGGCTATCATTCCCATTGCTGTACAATCTCTACAGACTAAATATTCATCTGTGAGTAGTCAAGGATGACACCTGATCACAGGGAAGACTGCGAGTATCGTTCTATGCCCAATACAGTCATCTTGTTACATTCTGGGGCCATCATCTCCATTGCTTTACCCTCTCCGGAATACCTCTCCTGTAAGTAGCACTGGCATGGTAGCATATTCAATTACAGGATATACCACATAATGGTCTCGCCCTTTGCAGATAACATGTCATTGCAGTAGCGACCCCTAATATTCTGAATTTGCATGCATGAACGGACATTATTGTTTTTGCTTCACATCTTTGATAGGGTTGACCGCGTGGCTGGGAGTAGCCGTTCGGTGGCAGCATGCCCAATTAAAGAGAAATATCGAAGCTGGTCTCTCCCTTTTGAAGATGTCACACAATTGGACCACCTTGCATTCAGTTTCTCTTTACGCATACCGGATTCTGCGTAAATGATACTAGATAGTATAGTGTTGAATAATAAAAGGTAAAGTGCCGTGATATGTGCTGTGCTTTGAGTGATCCTGTTCTGTATTACTATGATCGTCCCATAAACACGCTAAAATAATTGCCTCACATCTATCACTTTCCTCCGGTCGACACCTCACTTTCCTTAACCAACTCTACAGTCTACATACACCGCCATCTCGTTCCACCAATACATTGCCTTCTTACACGGTGTACAATCAAGTCTATTAACCGTTCAATCATTCATCGCGTCGTTGTAAGTTTATCAGCATTGGCCGATGTTGAAATTGGCTATGAGGTTGATCGGCTACTAATGAGGTTGCAGACCCAGTCAATATGTCTACCCGCGTGAATCTTGCCATCCTCCTAGTATCGACTGCGGTATACCTTGGGCAATTAGCACATGCTTTGCCGTCGCCTCTTGGTATGAACCCCTTTAATATGAAGCAAGCGAATACGAAATTGATTCTGCAAGGAACTCGTGATGGTTATGACTACTCTCACCGCACGCCGGTTCAAGGACATGTTATCTACTCGATGATATCACTAATCGGCCTTTGCATGGTGTCTGGAATGCTTAGTATGTTTGCAAGCCCCTCTCTAACAGCCGATCACCATTGCTGCTTTCTATATAAATAATTAACCTCTTCCTAGCCACTCGCGTTAAAACACTTGAGATCGGTAACTTCAAGCAGCTGAATTCCATCCGGGTCCTCGTACTAGCGATCTACTCCTGCACTCTTGCCTTTATCTTCTCTGCCGGTCTCCTCATCAACGCGTGGGACTTTACCACCGAAGGCCGTTGCCGCGCTGCCATTGATCTCTGCCTCGTTTTCTACGTTGGTAGCAAGGTCTGCCTATACCTCTTCCTGGTGGAGCGAGCGCACCAGCTTGTGGCGACAAAGCTTCCAAGACTCCGCGACCCCATCTACCTTCTCGGAATCGCCATCGTAATCTTCGGCTTCGGTGTGCTAGCTGTCTTTGCCTTCATCCATCCGGTCACCTCCCTCTCCCATATCGACGGCAAATGCCGCATCGGCCTTCCTCTCGTCATCACCATTCCCCTCCTATCTTACGACATCATCATCAACTTCGCCCTCACCTTCGTCTTCGTGATGCGAGGTGCGCGTCTGGTCAAGATCCGAAACTTCCGACACGCTCTGCATTGCATCGCCATGGCTCTGCCCTTCCGCAAAGTGCCCGGTCTGCGCGACCCCGTCATCGCGTGCGAGTTCTTCATGGGCAGATCCGGACTGGGCGCCTCCGCCATCATCTTGCCGACCATCGCAAACCTTGTTATCCTTTTCGCTTTGAACGGACACGAAAACGGTTGGCTCTGCTTCACCATATGCACCATTGACAGTATGTTCCCCGTCCCTTGCCCTGTTCTACGGGCTTGCTCCCCGCACGACAGTACTAATAGATCTACAGTCACATGGAGTGCGTCCATTATCCACTGGCTGACATCCACAAAAGATGACCTGGGCGCCGGTCCTACACGCGCTCCTGCCGCTGTTGGCCAGGGTGAGGGGGAGTACCATGAGATGCGCTGAGCAGGGATGGAATCGACAACATTATGTGAGGATGAATTATGATCAGGTGGAAAAGTTCTGTTGTGTTGATGAAATGGGAAGCAAGCCCTTTCATGTGATCAGTAATGGAATCTTTTCCTGTTAATAATATCATGCATGTGTGCCCATTGTAGGGCAGATATGATAGGATAGCGACCAACAAAACGCTTTGTTTTACAATTATTCTCCAGTAAATTGATTTCAATTGTGCATAGAATCAACTCATTAGACAGCTGCCAACCAAAGGCATAGGTTGAAGGTTTGTTCTCCCTCCATATGGCTCTAGGCAATACATGTATGATGGCTATGTGCCTATAAGCAGGCCAAAATAAAGGACAGGGGCCCATTCAACGCCCTAGAAATGTAATATGCAACTCCTAGAAAGCCCATTTATCTAAGTCAGCGTCCCATTCGCCTTCTTACTAGCAGGGGTTCCGACTCCATCCTCTGCCACTTCATCATCACTCATGAGGCCTTCCAGTTCGAACTCCTCGGAATCCCTCACCCTCCTATTCACGTGCCCAACATGGCCGTTTAACCCTCCCTTGGCCATAGCTTTGGGCTGGATACGGTCGAGAGGCCAGGCGTATGAAGCGTAGAGGTGCAGCAGCATACAGACGAATAGGAAGAGCAAGAAAGAAATGCTAAAGAGGAGAAGGATGTAAGAGACGTGGGAGACGCCGGCGGTGGTGAGGAGGTTCATTTGTTCCTCTGTGGCGCCCATGAAGAGGAAGCCGGAGGTGTAGAGTAGCTTGTGTAGAAGTCAGCAATTGAACACAGACAAATCTTTGTAAGGAGAGAGGTATTTGCAGGGCTACTTACAAAAGGCGTAATGTATTGAAAGCTATTAGTGTCCTCCACCTCCGTATCAGATATTGTATTTTGGTCCCGAAGAACGAACGATATCTCTACTATCCTGGCCATTCCAGCAGCCATGAGCGTGTACCCAAAGACCGTGTGGACATGCGTGCTCAGCTCCAGATGTTGAGGATGAGCGCTCATGCCCCATCCTGTAAGCATTATAACCAATGCTGGGAAAAGATTCCTCTTCGGCCTCCCATCTCTTTTCCTTGACAGCCACATTCCAAGCAGGCCCGCACACCACCATACGATACCCATACTTGTATGCTGCAGGTCATTAGCCACCCATGGGCCTCCCCACCTGTGCTCCGTAAATGTATTGACGCAGCCCCATGCTGCTATTATCAGACTGTCAAAGAATTCTTGGCTTCGGCCGGTCCTCCTGAGCCACATCTGACCAACCAGCAGCAGGATTGTGAGAACAATGCCGTAGCCGATGAAGGCGCTGCCCATAATGAAGTGGGCCAGGCATTGACCTAGGTGGTCCCCTTGACAGAATCCCAAGGCCGTAATGCCCCCGAACAGCATCTGCACCCAGCTGACTACCGGCAATGCTTTCCCTACTACTCCATGCCCTATGACCGTGTAGCGACGTATCCTAGCATGTATCCCTTTCTCCAGATGCAGCTTCAGGTAGACGCCGAGTACGACTTGGACAATGAGCATGAGCATCAGGAATGGTGCGAAAGAAGCGTGGACGTTATGGGCGAATTGGCGACCACCGTGCGCATGGCCAAGGAAGTAGCCGACTATCGAGAGAATGACACCGAGGACTTGGAGAGGTACGTGCCAACGTGAGCGAATGATCTAAAGAAGCGGTCAGACTCGCAGGGATTTGACTTTGGCGTGAGTAGGAGTAGACATTACCCCTAGGACCATTCCAGTGGGGAAGATGATGCCAAAGGAGGCTATTTGAATGGCTATGTGGATCCATAATGTAGTATCCTGATATTCCAATGTCAGAATGGCTAGGGCGCTCAATGTTGGGGGAGGTACAATAGGCTGTGCAGAAATCGCCTCGCCTTCTGGTATCTCATCGGTATGGTGCTCATGAGCGAACGCTTGTCCTGCTAGCCACAGCAGAGCAAGGTGACGGAGAGGGCGAGACATAGTCGGTATCCGTGCTGCTGACGTGGAAAGGGCGTTGGAGAACATCATGCAAGTGGTTTGCCGTGGGGTATATGTGCCTGCATTGTTCCCAGGAAAGAGTTGGCAGAGACTTAAAACTGCCTGAGGTGGTGATGATGATTATTGTTGTTGGAATGGTGTCTTTGGTATCTTTACTGGAGCTTCTTTTCTTCCAGACAATACTCCTCTTTGCAAAACCATTTGCGGGAGCGCCCGTTTGGCAGCCACCCCACCAAATTTTCGCCGTGACCACCGCCAAATATACGTAAGAGGTATTTCGTATTATATAGATATAGAATTATATTTAAGTAGCCATTTAAGTAGCCGTTGGAGTAGTTATTATAGCTATTATAAGTAGATTATAAGTAATTACTATCTAAAAATCGGGTAAAATCTTTAGATATTAGGTTATAAAAAAAAAATGGTAATAATAGAGCTCTATAATTGTACTTTTTATATATAGTATATCGAATAACTAAATTATATTAGAAATACGTCGTTAAACGATTTATTAATAGATCTTTATATATAAGATTAATCTATAAAAATATAGTATAGTAATAAGATATATCTTATAATATAGCTTTATCGAATTATCTCTTATTAATTTATATTATTTATAGTAATTCTAATCTAAATAATATTAAATAAAAAAAGAAAGAAGTTAATGAGATAGTAGATCGTAGAGATAAGAAGATAGCTAGATAAAGGGGGATTAGTTTAATTAAATCGTGAAAATAATAGTAGTAAAAAACTTAGTAGTTAAGACCTCGAAAAAGATTGAAATACGCTATATCTAAGGATTAGCTAGATTAAAGTCTAATTATTAGCGTGTCTATAGAGTCCTTACTATCGCTATTATTATACTATCGCCGATTCTAAAGCTTATTTACGCTTTTATTTAAAAGAAATTCAAGTAGAGTTATAGTAACGATATTATTCTAGCTAATTTATATAATATAGATATATAGACTTTATAGAGTATAAGATTCTATTAGCGCGAATATAATATTATTTTTATTTCGAATAATAGTTCTAGCGGATATCTTAGAGTTATAAATTAGTATATCGAGAAATAACTACTTATATATCTCGAAGAGCGCTTTATATTATATTTAAACGAGTTAGTATATATACTCTTTAACGAATTTAATCTCGTTATCGACGAGAGTATTATCTAAAGAGCTCTATAATACCTCGATTAATTTTATAAGTAAATAAGAAGAATAGCTAGTTAACGTAATATCTTTTTATATATTAGTTAATTTATTACGCTAGCTAATTAATAAGCTAATTAACTAATCTTTCTAAATAAATTAATAATTTATAAATGAATTAATAAGTATTCTCTTATTTCTTATATTAATTAGATATTAAATTTAATAGACAATAGAAAGTATAATTAAGTGTTTTTGAATATAAGATTATAGATTAGTAAAGAGTTTAAGCGATTAAAGAGATAGAGTTTACTATCAATATTTATTATATAAAGCTATCTATTATAAATTATTCTTTAAAGCTTTATTATATAAGAGATCTTTATTAACTTCGTATAAGATTATATTCTCTTTTACTACGATAGCTTTAATAGAAATAAACCTCTTTTAGTTATTATATATAATAACGCCTCGATATATTACTATTCTAAGTTTATTTATATATACTACAATATAGGCGTCTTACTAAAGTATCTACCCTCGTACTTATCTAATCTTAATTCGATTAAGATCTTATTTTCGATTTTTAAGATATAGATTAAGAGATATTAAGATCTAGCTATCTTATACTTTAATAACGAATAATATAATAATTTTCTAAATTTAATTATTTAGATATAGAAGAATAGATATAATATAAATAATCTCTTTCGAAGAAGTAATATATTTTATAGATTATAGAATAAAATAAATATAGTAAAAGAATAATCTAATAATAAGAATTTAGCTATCTATACTATATAATCTTTCTTATTATTAAATAGTATTTTATCTTAATTTAATTTACTCTCGAATTCTTTCTTCTCTTATAATTATATATCGAAGTTTTTAATCTTAATAATAGTTATAATATATTTTATTATAGAGATTAAAGATATATAAATATATAGTAAAGCGCGAGTAGGCTACTTTTTACGCTTAAATACCTTTATATTATTAATTAAGTTATATCTAATATTCGATTTAATATTTAATTTCTTCTATTTATACTCGAAATTATTATCTTTTTACTTCTAAATATAATAAGACTTATAGTACTTATTTAATAGCTTTCTCTTTATATTTTTTAAGACTCTCTAATTATATAATATAGTTTTTAACTTTATATCTTCGATAAAGTTTTTTAAATTAATATATATTAAACTATTAATCCTTTACTCTAAAGTAATAGAAGTTATTATTATTCTATAATTATAAGCTTAATTAATTAAGCGCTAAAGGGCGTAATAGCTATATATAGCGAGTTTAACTTTAAGATATAAGAATTAAATATCTATAAGGCTATTAATAGAATTTAATAAAGGTATAAATATAGAAAGTTAAATAATTATTATTAAAGAAGTAATAATAGAAGCTAGTATACGATTTTTCTCCTCTCTTTTATTCCTCTTCTTATAAATATTATTCTTTAGATTATTCTTTAGTTTACGCTATATAGCTATTACTATATTTATAGATAATTAATCAATAGTAAGTCTATTAATTCGATCTTTTAGAATGGCTACGAACTAGCTAATTAGATCTTAAGAGGTAATAGAATAATATCTATAGAGGTTTTTAAAGTAATTAATATAGTAGACTAATTTAGAGTAATTCTAACTATTATAATTCTTCTTAAAATACTTTTAGCGAGTATAAATATTATATCTAATAGTAAAAATAGAATTAATTTTATTCTTCGTAGTCTATATATTAAGTAGTTATTTAATAAAATATAAGCTTATTAGAATATCGATAAGACCTGAAGATTTACTATCTTAAGTTCTATTATTATAA